GGGGGGAGGGGGGGGGGGGGGGGGGGGGTGAGAGAGAAAGGAGGAGGGAGGAAGAAGACAGAAATAAAATATACATTTGATTAAATACTATAACAAAAAAGATAAAGAACGAATAGTATTACTCACCAACAGTCTCTCCTTTAAGGGCGGCTCCTGTAAGAGAGTTAGGCGTGATATTTTCGTTATAACATCATACATTTAACGTATTGCCCCAAAACTGGATTAAGAACTCACCGTTACCGCGATACTTGTTCAACTGCTGATAAACTTGCTTCATTCTTTCAATGTTAATCCTGGAGCTCTTACTATGGTTCACCATCGGTAACGAGTACTCTTTGCCAATGATACATTTGGCAGCACGTTGTATGCTAAGCGGTGCATTCCATGGTTCGTGAATGTATCTCGTGGGGAAATTTTTCAAAACCGGTAAATATCGTCTGATACCAAAATAAAATACAAAAAACAATCACAAAAGATTTAGAAAATGCCAAAACAGCTTACTTAGACGAAAAAGATAAATGCATTCTCCATTGCAAATAAATGAAAATTACCTAATATAATCGCCATTTGGATCGGCTTTCCTACCGAATCTCACTGGACAATAGCAATGAAAGAATTGCTGAAAAAATGAGCTACACGATAACCACATCCACATTCCTGCATTTACTGACCAGTCAGCGTCCAGTAGTAGCTCGTCGAATACCTTGTGAAACAATATGTGTAACTATACAATTTACATTTACAAATGCGAACAGAAAATATGACTATGGTAATAATGCATGAAAGTTCCAACGAAATGAACAGTGACATTTTTACAATACTGCAAGTCAATTTATTTGTTAATTTTTTTTAATGTTAATTGAAATGTCAGTGTATAATAAGAGACATTTTACCTTCATTCCTTCCTCCCAGGAGATCCAAAGGTCGCCTCTAGTTAAGAAACAAGCAACCGCGTGTCTAGCTAAGTGATGTATCCAGCCTTCTTCTCTTAATTGGGTCATAATCGCATCGATCCAAGGAAATCCTGTTTGACCCTATTTAGAAAATATCATTCGATTTTAAGAAAGTTCGAAAACGATCAAACGATCAATTTCGTTATACCTATTTACTATATATACAACATTCGTTCATGAACTACAGCACATATTTTAAATTCACTCACATTTGCCCATTTGGCAAGTGCCTCGACATTCTTGTCCCACGGAATTTGCACACAAATTGGATTACCCTGCATTCGATCGAAATTTGGATTCTTCGTTGCAGCGCAGTAAAAGAATTCGCGCCATAAAAGTTGTCCGTGCAATGAAAGTGGTGGTACAGCTTTTTTTATCTGCAAAATCATGAATGCAAATTGAGTTTGTATAAATTTTAACCAAATTTCAATTATTTATAATTAAATTTTGTTTTAATCTATGGAAATCACGATTCATGTCGTTAAGACAAGAAGATATTACCTTTTTATAAAGATCTGTGAGCTGGTAATAAAATAATCGGGTACTTAAACATCCGAATCGTAAATACGGTGAAAGACCTGTTTGACTGGGTAACAATGATTGTGGAGTCATTTTTGGTCTTCCAAAACTGGCTACCCAAGCTTTTCTCTCGAGATGTCGCTCTAATCGTGCTAGAGCTTCGCTCTCACCGCCAACCCATACAGGTGGAAGGAGTCCCTCCGTATCGAAGCCTGTTAATCATTAAAACATTTTATTGTTTGATTGTCTAACTTTTGTTAAATTATTCTCTCTCTTTCCGAGTTAGTAAATAGGTAGAAAGAAGTTACGTAAAAATAAAATATGTAAAAATTTACCAAGTTCTTCTAGCGTTGGAACACCGTAATGATCATCGTGATCCTCTTTCAATGGTGTGTAAGCTGAACCAACACAAGCGGAAGTAACAGTTGGCACTGGTGGTTCCGGAGGATCCATACTGGCAACGACAGTTTGAAATTGATGATAAGTCAGAGGTGGCTTCCCTCCGTTCCTCTCGATGATTCTGAAATGCAAGACATGAAACACTGACTGATATCCTGCAAGATGTTGAGGCGAGAGCCTTGTTCGGCAAAATTAGAAAGACATCCTTCACAACGGGGTAAAAGGACACACCCACATTCATTAACAGATTCATGCATCGTAAGAGAAGATAAACTCGAAAATGAGAAATGAGTTTATTGAACAAAAACATTTGAACTCACTCGTCCAACTTGTAGAGAGTATGCGAGACTTTCTGGACCACGGAGATACCAAGCTCCTTACAGAGTGCTGAGATATTATGATCTCGTACACGTCCGAACGGCTCTGGATCTTCCTCGAAAGTCAGATTCGTGGTACCCCATTCTTTAAACAATTTCGGCAAGGCGTCCGCTGGTTGTCCTCGTATCACGAATAATCTAGAGTTTAATTTTCTCAAGGAACAGTCGAGATCTTCTAAGCACTGTAGCAAGAATCTGTTGACAAACCGAATACAAATTTTTTTCCGCACGATCGTTATCGATCGAAAGAAATTTACTATATTAGCTCGTGCAAGTACACACCTCCATTTATTGATACCAACGTTGGTACTTCCAGCGAACCAGGGATCCAAAACGAAAACACAACGGAAAGTGGAAGCTCCGGCGAGACCTTCCCTTAACGAAGGATTATCGTGTAGCCGGAGCCCTTTGCGAAACCAATGAACCGTGTGTTTTCCACCCTCGCCGTGTACCGTCACTTCCGGATTAATTTCGTTATTCCGACTACCTGTCATCTTTCCTTTTTTCTTTTCCCTTTTTACGATTCCTTCAAACTTCGCACTCCTCCGCGCCCTCGTCACACGCTCGCTCACTCGCCTCCCCCCCGCCCCCCCTCACACTCCCACGCTCTTTCTTCCTCTCTCCCCTTCTCTATCTCTCTTTTTTTTGTTACACCGTCTTTTTTCAATACAGCATATTGAATTCGGACAGACAAAACCTTTTCTTCTGGTTTTTGTTTAGTTTTCTGCTTCTTTATCGCTTTGTTTTCGCATACATACGCATACGCGCACATGCAAACACATGCGCGCGTAGGCGCGCGCGTTCATATGTGCACCCACGCATACGCACACGTTATGTCCATTTCACCAAAATTCTTGCTTCCTTTTGCCTTTCTCTCTCCCTCTCTCTCGCTCTCCCTTTTGTTATACTTCAATTACGTTTCTAGAGTCTTTTAAATTTTTTATTCTCAGAGCTTGATAGTTCTTCCGCTTGTATGTCAAATGGAAGTTATCACAGTGGAGCAAGACAATGAAAAAGGTGAGCACAAAAGCTCGATGGACGATACCGGAGAATATTTTCTGCAAAAAATTTGTTCTTTAATAACATAACGTCGTAAAAAAAATGATCAGTGATTGAAATGATCAGTCAATTCGACTCACAAGGAGAGTGCAAGTCCTTCAGGTCACCGATTTAGTTAAAACTTTACAGGTTTATAGATTTCGTCACGTACTTCAAGAATGTATATCATTATGATCGCAACTACTCAATATTTGTTGAGATATTTACGATTAAAGTTTTATTACTTGTCAAATTATGGATTCATTTCTACTGGTTCCCAAATAGTCGTGACCTAACGACGACAAGAGAGAATTCGTATGTTGGAGGTCTGTGGTTCGAATCCCTTATGTCTATAGTTGGTAGTTTTTTTTTTTCAATTTATTTTTCATTTTGTATTCATTTTTCGCCTATGAAAACATTGTAAATAAACAATTGTATATAAAATTTCTTAATAAAAAAATTTGTTTTTTTACGCTTTCTTATGCTAGTATATATTTATTACAAAATAATAAGAATATTATGCAAGAAAAACAGTTTTCTATAGCAATCTTATTTACTACAGAAAGAAAACGAAAATATAAATAATCATTAGATACAGAAAATACAAAATCTATCGCTCAAGTAAGTATTAATTATTAAATTAAACATTGTATAAAAATGTTGTTTATAATTCCAACTTTGCTGTGCAGCTATAAATGTTCATGAAATAATTACAAAAGATGGGAAATTTATTAATTTTCTACTACAGAATTGATTTATTAAGGTGTATTATTAGCGCATAAGCAGAAGAGGTATCTAGTTTGAATAAAAATTTTACCGCCTGCGATCAGCGCCATCTATGATTTGGGCTCAAAAATCAGGAAAGTAATAGGAATATAGAATAGGCAAGGAGGTCGTCGAAGAGCTCGTCACATGTCTGACAAGGACATAGAGGGGATAGAAAAAGATAGAAGTGCTCCGACAGTGAAAAATTAATAAATTACTCAATTTTCGTAATTAATTTATGAACTTTTATAATTGCATTGAAAAACTGAAACTTTGAGCAACATTCTTATGTAATATTCGTACATAATTTGTTACGAATTAGTTAGTTATTAATTATTGTTTTATGGCGTCCATGATTTCGTAACGACGACCATCACGATCTTCCGTGAATATAATTAATACTAAACGAAACTAGAAACAAAATGTGAACAAAAATTATATGAGAAGATTCGCAAGAACATTGCTTTTATAATGAGTATAATATATAAATATATAAATTAATTGCGTAGAAGATAGTAATTAATGAAAAACCAATGGCGTCTTCGACAACAATTCAAAGACTCCGTATTAAATAATAATAATTAAGTTAAATAATAATTAATAATTAATTAATTAGGAGTAAATTTATGTCGAAAAATATATTGGAAAGTTCTTGAAGTATCTGCCTTTACGATGCAATTATAAAAGTTCATAAATTAATCGCAGGAATTGAGTAATTAATTAATTTTCTAATAAAAATTCAAAAAGGAACAGTCAGCGCCACCTATAGTTTTGTACAGAAACTAACGGAGCACAAGCTTCCAGATAAAAATCATAGGTGGTGCTGACCGTTGTGGTTTGAATTTATATTAGAAAATTAATTAATTACTCAATTCCTGCGAATAATTTATGAACTTTTATAATTGCATTGTAAAGGCAGATCCTTCAAGAACTTTCTAATATATTTTTTGATATAAATTTGTCCCTAATTAATTAATTATTAATTATTATTCTACGAAGTTTTTGAATTGTTGTCGAAGACGCCATTGGTTTTTCATTAATTACTATCCTTTACGCAATTAATTTATGAAATTTTAAGCGCTCATTATAAAAACAATGTCGTTGCGAATCTCATATAACTTTTGATCACATTTTGCTTCTAGTTTTGTTGAGCATTAAATATTTTCATGGAAGATCGTGATGGTCGCCGTTACGAAATCATAGATGCCATCAAACAAAAATTAATAACTAACAATTTAGAGCTAAATTCTTTACGAAAATTATATAAGAATGCAGCCTGAAGTTCCAGCTTTACAGTGAAATTATAAAAGTTCACAAATTAATTACAGAAATCGAGTGATTTATTAATTTTTCACTGTCGAAGTCCTTCTATCCTTTTTTACCCTCACTCTGTCCTTGTCTGACTCGTGACGAGCTCTTCGACGACCTCCACCTCTATTCTATATTCCTATTACTTTTCCGAGCATATGGTCCAAAATCATAGATGGCGCTGATCGCAGGCAGTAAAATTTTTATTCGAACTTAATACCTCTACTGGTTATATGCTTCCAATACCCCTCATAAAATCAATTCGGCAGTAGAAAATTAATAAATTTCCAAGTTTTTCTAATTAATTCATGAACATTTATAGCTACACAGCAAAGTTGGAATTATAGGCAACATTCTTATATAATGTTTAATTTAATAATTAATACCTACACGAGCGATAGGTTTTGTATTTCCTGCATCTAATGATTATTTATATTTTCGTTTTCTTTTTGTAGAAATCTTATTTACTGTTTTTCTTGCATTGTACTCTTATTATTTTGTAATAAATATATACTAGCATAAGAAAGCGTAAAAAATAAATTCTTTTATTAAGAAATTTTATTTACAATTGTTTATTTACAATAATTTCAGAGGCGAAAAATGAATACAAAATAAAAAATAGATTGAAAAAAAAAAAAAATTGACTAGACGGAATTGAACACCCCGATCCACCAGCACATGAGTTCTTAAATTTCGCCGTGGAAATAAATCTTGAATTCAATCAGTAATAACGCTTTAATCGTAAATATTTCAAAAACTATTGAATAGTTGCGGTTATAGTGATATATTTTCTTGAACTGCGTGACGAAATCTATAAACCTGTAAAGTTTTAACTAAATCGGTGACCCGAAGGACTTGCACTCTCCTTGTCAGTTCGATCTCGCGTACAAGAAGCCAGAAGAAAAGGAAAAAAGGAAAATAGGAAAAACAGGAGAAAAGGAAGGAGTGAACGCCTTGTATACTGTACATAAGTATACATGAAACATCTCGTCCTGCAACAAATTTCTATGGCTGATACATTTGCGACGCTTCTACTTAAATGTGTTACGCACTACCTGACGGATAATATATAGCCGATTCTACTACGCCTACTATATTTTGTGTACATACAATAGTGCGCGGTGAGGAGAATCAATAGTAACAGACGTTCGTTCGGCTTATCGTGACCGCGTATTATGTCATGCAGGTAACATTCGCGAAAGTTTACACGAATCTTATATTCCTATAGTGTTTCGTGCGAGCGCACATCAATCGTTTTCCTTGATATTTCTATGTACCATAGAAAAACGATAGGAAAGCAATTAATACGCACACAAGTGCAAATGCGTACTGGGAATAACTGATCCGAAAAAATGGTGGAAAATTGATATAAATTCGAAAATTATCGCGATAATAATTTAACGATAAGTATCACAGACGTATTACATTATTCCACTCGAACAAAAATAAGTAAATTCCATGGCCAGGATATAAAACACGTTAGTACAATACTAGATTTTTATTTTCGTCCAACTTCGTTAAATGAGAATTTAATTCCAGGTCGATTCACTCCCGTCATGCCCGAAAATAGAAACGAGTTATATAATTATGTGATTATAATACCTGCTTCTCAGAACGTAAAGTTTCGTGAAAAGCTTAGCTTCTCTTAGCATCATTTTTCTGTTGTATTTGAAATTTACTTCGATAATCGATCAATTACCAGTACCTCACGTATAACCCGTATACTGTCACACGGAGCATACGTTCGGTGAACGAATCTTTAATTCGATCTATTTCGATAAGGACGGCAATATTTTACGATATGTTTACGGGACAATAGAAGCTTTACTATTTCTTAACTAGATATTTAGTTTTATAACGATTTTTGTAAAGTTCTCTAGCACAAAATGCTTATAAATTTAAAATCAATCGACATTTGAATAGAAACGTAAAACGGTTGATAAAATGCCAAATAGTTATATTGCATAACTGCAACAATGGAGAACAAATAGTTTAGAAAAGAACATACACGAGATATGCTAACCCGCTGATATAATCGCCTTTTTCTTCGATAGATTGTGACGTAATTATTACAAAACTGTATATTTTAATCGTCGTTTTGTCGATCGAAAATGAAGACGAAAAAGACAAAAAACGTGTCACAATCTGCATCATATAATATAGTTGCAAATAAATAAGCAGCTACATTAAATAAAATGTGCTAATCGTATAAATGACTTTTGATAAATCAGTGCAACTGAAAAATCTAACGGACAATAGAGAGGCAGCACGTGTCTATCCAACTGGAATTTATTCAAGTGTTACATACTTTTTACAAGAAATTAGTTTTTACAAGGAACTACGCGAATTATTTTCTTCATAATATCGAATCATTTTTTAACGGAAGCGGCAGTTTTATCATCGTCAACAAATGTAATAGAAATAGTTGTAAGTGATAGTACATAAAAGGCAGAAAAATAAGAAAGTAAGCAATCGCTTATTGGCAGTAACAAAGAATACATTACACGCTTAAATTGAAATTATCAAGCAATAAAGGAAAAGAACGGCGCGGATCGAAGTATATTTATTAACGTGTAATTACCAACAAATACTTACAGTCGTGTGAAAGCGCGAACATTTTAATATATCCGAATGCGATATTATTACTTGTTGTTGGCTTTTCGATGTATTGGATAAGCTTATCGGAATTTGAGGAAGCACCACACACATACACGCGCGCATATACGCACACTTGATTCAATGTTTTATACGTTCAAATCATGAAACGATCACCCGAGAATTACAATGCATCGGATCGCACATAGGAACGCACTGTGGAGGTTTGTTATTACGAGCGACAAAACTTGATGCACTTGTTTCGGACAACAAAACTTTTCTAGCCTTTACAAGAAAAGAATAAACTCGTGAAATTTGCAACAAATTGCTATGGGACACGTCGCACAAGGAACAGTTGCTCGCATATGCCAATGTACAACTTGTCCAGCAGAAATAGAGAAGGAATGATAGGCTGTAAGAGCAAGGGGAACGCGGAGCCACGCCGAATGCAACGTGACAGTGTCCTCGCGTACATTGCAATTGGTCAATTCGATCACGTGGTTTCTCGGTCACGTTGCACCCGTCGTGGTTCTATACGTCTCTTTTATATACCGCTTATCATTTCCTCTTTCTTTTCGTCTTACTGCTTATTTCTTCGTTATTTTTGCATTGATTTGTTCTACTCACGATTCTTATTATCACCCTGATTAAATGTAACTTTTTAATGAACTGGACAAAGCTATCGAAGCTAAAAATAATGAAAGAATGTACCGTGTCCTCTACTATTTTGCTATTTTATATTTTATTAATGCAATGAGTTAGTTAAAAATGTCGCAATTATTCTTACTTGTTATCTTGTTAATTTTCCTAATAGAAGAGTTTCGTAACTTCTAATATCAAATCCAAGGATGATTGAAAATTCTAATCTGATTTGTACGCATTTACCGAATGATTTTCGGCTTACCAAAAGTTCTTTTAAGAGACTCCATTACTTTTTGTCTTATTAGCCTACAGAAAAAATGTGACTTCTACAAAAACTCATTATATAAGTCTCATACGCTAGGATATTTACCTCTAGAATACCCTTGACCGAATTATCACGCGCATACGCATTACCATTTTTTCAACGTTACACGATAAACCAGTGATGTAATGCGATGCAGCTGACTCAGCGTTGATGCATCGATCACATGCTGGATTCTACCAACATACACTCTTTAATTCATTTAACTCTAAACTTCAATTTCGATAATTTCATCGAAATTAATTTTAATTTTACAATATCTGTAATCTCGAAATTAAATACTAGCAAAACTTTTTATTCGTTGATATAAATATAGTCAAGAAATTATTCATAAGTATAGAACGTGAAATATTTTGTAGAATAATTGCATCTGTTTATTCGTATTGATACATAAAAGGTATCAGGAAGAATAGTATAGTACAACGAAGTACTCGATAATCATTTCCTTCCCACGTTACTTTCGATACTACATTGTTTCTACCTGCAAGATCGCGCAATGCATATAAAAATGACTTTTTTAAAAATCCATATCATTCACTGCCATTACATTGATTGCTCATTTCTCTGTTCTTCTATCCTCATATCTGGCATATACATATCTCGCTATTCTTTATTCATTGATACATATTGTTCGATGATATCATATAGTTAATCTATATGTAAATATTTTCTTTATACATTCGTAAATCTTATAGTTTATTTAATTTAATCCATACATCTCCTTCATTCTAAAACTCCGTCAATGCATATTTTTAGTACGATACGCAATAAATCGTTTTCGGAGTTACTTTAATTGATTCAGATTTCGTCCGAAATATTTCAAATATTACAATTATACGTTTCTTCTGAACGTATATGTATATTAACTAGTGTATACAATATTTAATTATACCTATTAATTATATGTATAACAAAATTGAAAGACTATCACTATTGACGGAGTAAGAAATAAATCTAACGAAACGTGAAGTTTAGCTTGTGTAACAATACGTTACAACGCCGGTATACAAATACCGTTGAAGCACCTCAATAATATATGCGTCCAAAAAAATCTTTTCTTAGCTCTTTTACATTCTCTGCTTCCTCTCAGATTTTCGTTATTCGTTACAAATAAATTATATTATACCAATGCTAACAATTTCTTTACAAATATAAACGCATAATCTAAATAACAATTAATAGATCATATGTTCGAAATTTTTCGGCCAAAATATAATTTACGGTTGTAAAGTTTCGTTTTACGTACCGCTTGGAAACTGCGGTATTTTGATCGAAGATTAACATTATGGTAGGATGCAATACAGATAAGAAAAAAGATAAAAAAAAATTAATGAAAAACAAAAAATGAAAAAGGAAAAACTACTAATACACATAACAATTACAAGTGCTGCATGTAACGTAAAATGTTTGTATATTATATCGACGACTTAACTTCAAAACATATGAGAAACAAGCAGCTTCTTTCGACAGAACAATTACGACTGAAGAAGTACTTTCAGAAAAAATATTTTGATCTATGAGGTTCGATTACAAATCGAAAATACTACAAATTTTTGTAACATCAAACAGAAAATAACCTTACATGATTCGCTACCATTTTCCAAATGTATGCTTCTACCTACGACAATTTATTACTATTAATTTAAAATTAATTTGATTACCGAATAGTTAATAACCAAACTAACTATGAATGATACTGTACATAAAAATGCTCTATGAAACGCATCTTAATCTTGTTTAGTCTATAATTTGCTAAAATTTATACTACAGTTATATCTTCTGTTTTTATATAAGATAAAATAATAGTATTCCAAATGATACTAACTTGCAATGATTATCTTGCTTTTCATAATATGAATACTTAATAGTAATGCACATGTCTTATTAAAATGTGATAGTAGTATTACTATATATTTAATGTTGTTTTTAGTAACTCTTTTTAAAGCTATAATTTTAATCTCAAGAATCCCATCTTTTATGCATCAGTCAAATTTGTTTCCTATTAATTATTATATAAGTTAAAAAGAACAAAAGTAAAAATGCCTGAGAAAGATTTTTGTTTTTCTTTCTTAGAATAGTTGCTTTCAGAGATAGTTCATCGACTTGCGATTGCGTTTAATATAATGTATCGATTTTTAACATCAAATGTAAATAAAATATATTACGAAACGCGATTATATACGTTCATTAAACGTTTTTCTGAATGTATTGAAACTTCTTGCTATTTTTATGATCGCCTTAATATATCCAGGTACGCATGTCAAGCCACGCAAATAATTCGATTAAGGTAGATAAAATATTGTACAATGTGAAATTCAAATCTTTCTTTTATAATTTATAGGAACGTCCATTTGAAAGGTTCAAATTTGCAGGCATAACGATTAAGGTTGATAGATTATTTTACACGCTTCGGAGGTCTGCCACGTTTTTTAGCCTCACTATTTATGGTATGATTAATAATTGATGATTTAGCAGTATGCGAATTTATTGCTTGTATATTTCTTCCAGTATCAATTTTATACAAATCTAGTTCGATCGCCTTTCTAGATCGCCTGGTTCGACCAGCTATTCCTTCCATCTCATCAAACTTTGCTTGCAATCTTTGAGCCAATTCAAAATCTTCTTTTTCTTGTATAACTAATCTTTCCATTCGTTCTTGTTCTTTGATAATTTCTTCATCCGAAAGAACATTTTTCTCTATGATTGTATTTGTTTCAGTAGTATTATTATTCTCCGATATACACCCTTGCATTACTATACAAGATTCGGAAGAATTACAATTGCTACTGTTCATATTTCCATATGTTACATCTGCTCCATTATTTATGGAACTGTTTGCGTGTCTTATTTTTCGAGTTGTTTTCCTTAACCCAGAATTGCTAATTTGACAATTTAACCCTGTAGATGCATCGCTTTTTTCAGAACTTTCTGTACTGGACTGTTTTGTTGAACGTACCCTACCCTGTTTTGTTTTCGGTAAGGCGGTTCTAGTATATTTAGTTTTACTCCTTTTTTGTAGCGTTAGAGGAACATCGTCTGTCGCTTTATACTCAAGTTCCTCCTTTCTACATAGTCTTTTCCTTGTGTTTCTTTTTATAACTGTTTCTAAATTTGAATTTAAAGAGGATACCCTAGTAGAGTTCTTTTTATCTGTATTTAGTTTCCTTTTCTTTATTCTCTCCGCGATATTTTCGATTGTTATCTCATCTTCTTCCCGTACTTCGGACTCTTCTTCATTGCAAAGCGAATTTAATTTTATGGATGCAGATGAAGAATTTTTCATTTCAACATTTGTTGCAACTTTAATATCTTTTTTAGTCCATAAAGTTTTTTGCCGTTTAGATTTACATACCATACCGTTTCTAATATGAGATTTCCAGGATTTCTGTACCTTTCTAATATCTCTATGCTCCTCTATTAACTTTTTACTGATTTTAGTGCCATTAATTATATTATTCACATCCTTAGTGTAATTCTTATTAGAATCAAATGACACCTCCGAAATATACTCAAGTTTACGAATACTGTCATGAATTTGAAATTTTGTTCCTTTGCTGGCAATAATTTGTGGCTGATTACAAGATGTTGATGGTTTCATTAATGATTTCTGTTCAATCTCTTCTTTGCATACATCTTTCTCTTTAAAACTCTGTTTAGTTTTTCCTACAACATTTCAAAAAATAATTATTTTTCTATTTATGACATTTTAATTTTTTTAAAAGCTGTATAATGTAAAATTAATCTACCTCGAAATGCACTCCAAGAACATCCAATAATTCGTTTTAAATGAGTTTGAGATGGAGGCTTAGGTACTACATTAGATATTCTTTTAAATATAGGAACAACTCTAATTAATTTTGGATCTATTTGTTTTCCATCTGTAATACAATATTACACAAATTATTTAAAGAACATTTAAAATCTTTACATAAATTATAAATATAATTCAACCTGTAGACATTTTTAATGGTGTTCTTGGCATAGCCTTGATAGGTTTAAAATGATGAATTTCTTGATTAATGCTATCGTGGCTACCGGCACTTTCGGCACTTCCCATTCTTTCATCGTCATCACCTGAAGATACACATACTTCTACACTTAAACTTTTTTTTTTACTATTCACGATATCATTTGGTACATGTAATTCTTCTTTGCTTTGAGTACCATATATTTTTGAAGTGGATGTTCTAGGTTCCAAGGAACATTTTGAGACACAAGGTTCTATTATTTTGGCTGTTTGATGCTTTACAGTTCTTGAAATAGCATTATATACAGGCATAGGATTTTGACAACAAAATTTACTTGTAGAATCATTACATGTATTGGACAAGTCAACACTGCTTTTTATACTAGAGGCATATCTTTCTGCACAAATTTTAGATATTAATGCAATATTTGATCTTCTTAATCCAGAATTGTCTTGAGGTTGTAAAAGAGGTGCTTTTTCATACTTTGAGCTATGAGGTTCTAATTTATATAAATCCATTTCAGTCATAGTAGCAACATTAAATTTGGAAGTATGGAAAGAACTACTAGATACATTAAGAAAGTTCTTATATTTAGATTCTTTGTGCTTGTCCGCAAGTTGTTTCTTTACCAAGGATTTTGCAAGTAACTGATCTTGAGTTAATTGAGATAACTGTTGCTGTTTTTCTTCCTCCTGAATCTTGCGAATTAAAGCTTCGCTGGCTATCTGTTCAGCTTTTCTTTGACATTGCATTTCTTCCTCAGCCATTTGAAGTTGTACTTCATATTCCCGACGAATTTCTCCAGCTGCACTAAGTATTTTGTTAGCACCACTGTAGTCTAAATATGAAAAATAATCCATAATACATCTATATCATATACATACAGATATATAGTTTCAAATGATATTTAAATTATATTTTTCTTTTAATAATAACAAAAAAGTAAAAAATAAAGCATTTATTTGCAATACTTAAAAATAGCTCTACTATGAAGGAGTTGTACTTTGTTTAAGAACCTTATTTTATACTGTCATAGATACATACGTATTTATATATACATGTGTATATATTTCCACATGTATTAGTATTATGAACATCTATAATTTTTTACAGAGGTTATGTTGCATTTGTTTATCTTGTCTTATAGGAAACTTACCCGCATCCAAATCGATACTTTTGTCGTCACCACTGTATTTGTTTTCAATTTCTTTGGAAAATTTTGTTTGAATTAATTTCCAAAGACCGTTATTAACTAATGTTTCGGTCTTTGTTGCTGTACGTAGCCAAGATCCGACTCGTATTCTACAGAGAGGACAACTTAAGCTATTGTGTTCAAAAGTACCTTTCAAACATTTTAAGCAAATATTATGTGTGCACGGCAGTGTTACTGGTTCAATCAGAATACTGCGACATACTGGACATATCAAATCTCGTAGACTAATATCCACTGATGTTCGTGTCAAAGAAATATCAAACAGTTTTGACGTTCGCTTCAAATATGTCGCCATCTTGCCATATTCTTTATAGAAACATAACAACCACTACGGTCACTTCAAGAACCGTGGTTCTCTTATTGAATGAAGCGTTCACAAACAGGTCAATTTGTATTACAGATCTTTTATAAATATGTGAACGTACACAAATGAATTTAATGATATCTTCTAATCCGACATACAAATTTTTGTAATTTCTCAAAAATATTATACTAATAACAAAATAAAAGTTAAAATTATAGTTAAATCATCATTAATGGATTAATAGTGGACAATTAGATAGTGTAAAGAAGTAGAAAATACTTTTATTTTAATTCTTTGAGCTGGATGTCCCAATTATATGTGTTGAGATTTTAGCCTAGTATCAATTTTAAAGTACATTTATAAAACTTCTATTATTTTTCACATTTCATAAATTTTAGGGAATTTCATTGATTTTCATTGGGTAGTGAATGGCAACTACAAGATTCCCTAATATTTAATAGCCTATTAAAGGGATTCTAGTAGCTCTGGAATTGTATGTTTCCAGTAATATACTACATGCATTGAATATGCATTACACATAACATATTGATGTACGAAGCTCAAATCAGTATATAACATAAATCGTAAAACCTATTTTTTTAAGATCACGATAATTATGAATACATAACAATTAAAAAATAAGTTATTCTACATTTTATTTCTTTTACTAGACTTACTAAAGTTGGCTATACTTTTACATCTAGTGTTGTATATAATAACAATACCTAGTAAGTTTGTGAAACTTACAATCGATAAAAGACCGTTAGAATTCCCTCAAGTCAATATAAATGATTCACAAGTCGTTAAATGTGTGAGAAATCATTTCGCAGAAATAAATAAAAATCTGATATAACACGATAAGTCAAATAAAAAAAATAAGATAACATAGGCATTTAAACTGCAACCACGTATTCATCTAACGTACAATAATTCTCCATAGTATAAAGTTTAATCAAATTTTTCACGACTAACTGTAAAAACATGGGAAAGAAAGGTAAGTAAATATTATAATATGGCAATAACAATAGAAGGGAAATTTTTATTAAAATTTTTATACATTAAATCAGGAAAAAGAAGCAAAAATAAGAGCAAATCTGAAGAACCAAAAACTGATCAAGAACAGCAACCTGATCCGCAACAACAGCAACCTGGCCCGTCACAGCAACAACCTGGCCCGCGACAACAGCAATCTAAGCCGCAACAACAGCAATCTGAGCCTCAACAACAGCAATCTGAGCCGCAACAACAGCAATCTGAGCCTCGACGAAAACAGCGTGACCTGCAACCACGGCAACCTGGCCCGTCACAGCAACAACCTGGCCCGCGGCGACAACAGCAATCTGAGCCGCAACAACAGCAATCTGAGCCGCAACAACAGCAATCTGAGTCGCAACAACAGCTATCTAAGCCTCGACGAAAACAGCGTGACCTGCAACCACGGCAACTTGGCCCGTCACAACAGCAATCTGAGCTGCAACAACAGCAATCTGAGCCGCAACAACAGCAATCTGAGTCGCAAGAACAGCACTCTGAGCCTCGACGAAAACAGCGTGACCTGAGACCACGGCAACCTGGCCCGTCACAGCAACAACCTGGCCCGTCACAACAGCAACCTGGCCCGTGGCGACAACAGCAACCTGGCCCGTCACAACAGCAACCTGGCCCGTGGCGACAACAGCAACCTGACCCGTCACAAGAGCAACCTGGCCCGTCGCGACAACAGCAACCTGGCCCGTCAGAACAGCAACCTGGCCCGTGGCGACAACAGCAACCTGACCCGTCACAACAGCAACCTGGCCCGTCGCGACAACAGCAACCTGGCCCGCAACGACAGAAGGTAGTAAAAAAATGGTCAAGGCAGATATTTTTCATATTTTAACAAAAACTTTATTTTCCTGTGGAGAATGAAATAATGATCTAAATATTATTTTTTCTATATGTTTTTTATATAGGAAACTGCTGTGGTTTCACAAGAATCTAAAAAATTTAAGTTATCAAAAGCACTCCAAGATTCATACTTGGCACAAATACCTGTGAAAAAAGTTGGGGGAACTCAGGGTAGACAAATTACTGTGGAAGCAAATATGTTGAGACTTATTTTTCCCTCAAATTTTGCAACAAATATTGTACATTATGATGTAAATATTATACCAGACAGGCCAAAGGCATTATTACGGTCTGTTTTTGAACAATTCAAGAAAAAACAGTGCCCAAAAAGAAATCCTGTCTTTGATGGTAAAAAGAATGCATATAGCGCAAAGAAACTTCCTTTTGGAAATGAAAGTGTAAATTGATAATTTACTTCTATAATCATAGTGTCTGTAATTTGTATGTATTATTTATATTTCATTTGAGTTGTATATTTCATATATTTCTTGTGTTACAGCCAGTAGAAGAAGTAACAATTTTTGATCATGAATTTGCAAGAGAAAGAACTTTCAAAATATATCTAAAAAAAGTTGCAGAACTTGATTTATCATGGATAAATAAGAAATATTATACTGCATTTGAAGATGATGATAAATTGAGTTGTATTCAAGCATTGGATATTATATTACGTCACGAATCTATGCTACGATTTGTAACTGTAAGTTGTTTAATATTACTCAGTTTTTAAATAAGTAAGAATAAGTTTATGTGATAATTTTACTTGTTTATATATTATACTGCCTAACAAATTTTAACTTTTCTTTTTTTTTTTTGCAATGCTTTGGATGATCCTTGTAGGGTTTCTCGTTCTAAACACAAATCTGCAAGTCGAATTGTATCACCCTTAATTTAAAAAAAAATCGGTTTTTTGTAAAAACTTCTGATTTTTAGCAAAAACGAAGTATTGCGTGAAAACTAGACATCATTTGTCTTGTAAAAATTAAAAGTAATTAATTTAATTCTTAATAATTTCGCAATTAGTATGCAAGAATACTTAAAAAACCTACTATTATATACATTAAGTGAGTGTATATTGGTTACCTACTAGCGATATCAATTTAGCATAGCTACAGCACAGCTTATGCGAAACCATGTGAAAGATCACGTGAAAGATGAACGATAACCGCTTGGCGGCAAAATGACTAGTGGATTTGCGATAGATATTTTCTTGATCTGTGTGAATCGAAAACCGCTTTGACGCTTCTGTTAGGTGGCTTCGTCTTTAGAAATATCTAGAAAATAATCGAAAATTCATGCTAGCTAAATAACGTTTGATGAACATGTAAAAGTAATATGTAGCAGCTACATATGCTTTTTAAACTTCAATTCGTATTCAGGAATCTGTCATTTGAGATCAATAACAGCTTTTTAATGTTTCTAGTTTTCATACAATAATTGCTTTTTGCTAAAAATCGGAAGTTTTTACAAAAATCGATTTTTTCAAATCTGAGGATGATATAGCAATTCTGCTTATGGATTCCTGTTCAGGACAAGTAACCCTATGAAAATCATGGAATGCATATTACAAAAAAAAATATTGCGTTGAACAGTGTTATGTACCATGTTTTATTATCATATTCATTGCATATGCTGACAATATACATGGTGTATTTTCTGTTATAATAAATTCAATATACTTAAACTCTTATGTAATATAACTGTAATAGGTTGGCAGATCAATTTTTCAACCACCAATTTCTGGCAGGGTTGTATCATTATCAAATGGCTTAGACTTATGGGTTGGTTTATTTCAATCTGTTGTGATTGGATCTAAACCATATTTAAATATAGATGGTAATGTATTGATATTATGTTATTACTGTTACTATAATTTTGTGTAATTAATATTCAATACTTTTTATTAAGTCTTTTGTATTTTCTCATTATATTTAAATTTTAATATTCTTTTTTAATAGTTGCACATAAAGGATTTCCTACACCTCAACCAGTTATAGACTTGATGAAAGAATTATGTAAGAATCCCAGGGCTCGTGAAGAATCAAGAACTATAACTCCAGCAGATGTAAACCATAATTTTGACAAAATAACCAACTTTTTAAAAGGTTTAAAAATTCAATATGAATTACCTGAACAGCCTACTAGCAAAAGAACTTATCGTGTAAATGGATTAGTTCCTTGTGCAAGAGAAAACAGATTTACTTTAGAGGATCAAACTGTTTGTACAGTTGAAGAGTATTTTTTACAAAAGAAAAGATATAAAATAAAATATCCTGATTTACCTTGTCTTTGGGTAGGATCACGAAATAGCAATATTCATTTACCTGCTGAGGTAAGTAACAATAAAAACGATGTATGTTTAAAGTTATAAGATTAATAACTTTTCATTTATGTCTTACAGTTATGTACTATTGTAGCGGGTCAAGTTACACAGAAGAAAATGGATGAAGTTCAAGTTTCTAAAATGATTCGTGAAGCAGCAACTGATACTAAAACACGTAAAGCTAAAATTATGAGTCAAGTAAGAGCTTTTTTGATTATTGAATACTATAAAATTAATTTAATATTGATGAAGTATTAAAATATTTACAGTTTGCTAACATGAATTTGAACCAACAACCATCTTTATTAAATGAATTTCACTTTTCTATACATGGGGAATTTGAAAAAGTTCCTGCAAGAGTTCTTCAGGCTCCTGTATTAAAATATGATCAAAAGGAAGTTAACGTTTTTAAAGGAACATGGAGACCAGAAAAATTTTTAAAAGCATGTGATTTACAAGAAAATACATGGACTATTTTAAACTTAGATTCATACATATCAGAACCTACCTTATATCAATTACAGAAAAATCTACAAAGTGGTGGTTAGTATGACATTAAAAAGTTCTTTTATAGAAGGATATTATCTTTATTGTTTATTGACTGTATTGGTTTTTAGGTAAATTATTGAATATGAAAATTGATAAAGCATTAACTCCATTTGCCACTTTAACAGTGCAACGTAATATTAAGGTTATAAATCAATATTTTGAAGAAAAAAAAAAGCAAAATATAAAACTAGTTGTAGTAATACTTCCAAACTTAAATAATGCATATAGTAAGTAACATGGTAATAATTGTTATATCAAAGAAACCTTCGTTAAAAATGTTTGAATGCTTGTAGGTATAGTAAAACAAATTTCTGAACTTCAAATACATGGTGGAATTGTGACTCAGTGTATAAAATCTCAAACTGTAAGAAGGTTGAATAATTCAACGGTTGTGAATATATTGTTGAAAATTAACTCAAAGCTTAATGGCGTTAATCATACTTTGGTTCAGCGGTAATGTTAAGTTTTAAATCTTTTATCATATATATATATATATTGTGTACAAGTATTATACAGATATATATGTATCGTTTCAGTCCGCCTTGCTTATGTGTACCATGTATGATCGTTGGTGCAGATGTGACTCATCCATCACCGGATTCTGTAAACATACCTTCAATTGCTGCTGTAACGATGTTTATTATCCGCATTATGTAAAATATCTGTTTCATTTATTATGTAAATATAGTCGTAATACAAACAATATTTTAATATAGGTTGCAGCAAGTCACGACCCTAATGCTTTTCAATTCAACATTGAAGTAAGACTGCAGTCACCAAGAGAAGAAATGATTCAAGATTTAGAAGAAATTATGACGATTCAATTGAAATTCTTTTTTGTGAAAACAGGATACAAACCTAAGAAAATAATTTTTTATCGGTAAATAAATTAAAATAATAAAAAATGTATAGAATTAAGTTATAAATTCAGTTGCATAAAATATACTTAATGAATGTTTATTTGCACATATATAGGGATGGTGTAAGTGAAGGACAACTTGTACAATTGATGCATTTTGAATTATCAGCAATAAAGAAAGCTGTTATGCGCTTAGATAAGAGTACTGCATGTAATATCCCAATCGCGTACTTTGTAGTACAAAAAAGACATCACATCCGTCTTTTTCCAACCAGTGAAAGAAATTCCGATGATAGAAACTTTAATGTACAGGCGGGTACTATCGTTGATACAGAAATTACACATCCAACTCATATAGACTTTTATCTTGTATCCCATGCTAGTATACAAGTAAGTTCATTATATTTATTGTACTGTATAAAATAAAATTTAAATAGTTTATATTAGTATTAAAAATAATCGAGTACTATTTCTCAGGGCACAGCGAGACCTACAAAATATAGATGTATATGTAATGAAACTATGATGTCAGAAAATGAAATTGAACAACTTACATATTATCTTTGTCATATGTTTGCACGTTGTACAAGGTCTGTCAGTTACCCTGCGCCAACATATTATGCCCATTTAGCTGCCTTCAGAGCAAGAACATTAATACAGAAGTAAGTTCATTATATGTACATGTCTTATTACTTCTGGTTATATATTTATTAAACAATTCTAATTTTTGTATGTGTAGTGTTACTTTAAATCTGGATAATCTAAGAGAGGAACAGCAAAGAAAAATGACTTTACAGATAAATAAAAATTCTCCTATGTTTTTTGTATAAGATGTATGTATCTGTTTAATCTTCATATTATACTCTTGTCATTATTATGTTATAATAATTACATATAAAATTATTTCAAACATATTTTATGGTGATCTAATAAATACGTTTTAAATGTTCTTCTACATTGTGCCTTCCTATTAATTTTTCTTCTGTACATGATAAGATTCTTATATGAAATAATGTAATATTACTTTTAAATACATCATAATTAATACAATTTGCAATATAATATGGTATGTAATAACATGTTTTTCTGTAATATACTGTAATGAATAAATGAAAACCTAGGAATGAGTTTTGGTTATATACAGTATTTAGAATTTAATACTTTTATATTTAATTTTTATACGAAAGTCTTACTTTTGTGTTTAATTTTTGCTATATTTATATAAAATTTCAATTATATATGTATTCTTTTTATGACTATTCTATTTATTAATTATAATATGAGAATTGGGCATATAAAACCTATCATTATAATGCAGAATAAATGTATTTCCTTCTAATATAGAAATCCTAGTAAGTCGTAACAATCAATTCTGTTTGAACGTAGTGTAGCTAACATGGCGTATGCCTTTGTGTTGACGTCGTGAGTCTGATAGTCGTTTCTAAACAATTCGGTTGTGTATTTTGAACTGTTTTATCAAACATTTAAAATATTTAAAATTGGTTACATAGTAAAGATTAAAAATAAATATTATAGTTATTTACATGCGTGCATGTGTACATATTGTATAACAGTATAAAGGTAAATTTTATCGATCGATAACCGATTCGTTTTTTACAATTTCAATTCGTATTCTACTAATAATTTCTAATAACACGTTAATTCTTAGTAATAGAACCCAAGTTCATTGAGATTCAGGATCCATGAGTATTTTTACGAAATTTAAGAAAAACAAAGATTACTGTATCGTGTAGGACAGAAAATACTTAAAATATAGAAGGGTACACTAATTTTTAATTTATTTTAAATGTCTTAACTCAAATTTTATCTCAGATTAGTTCGTATTTATGTTTTATACACGTATATATATACGTTTTCTTTTTACATATTTCTAATATAAATTTATTTGTCATTAAATATTTTGTTTGTAGAAAAATGAATATATACATTAAAAATAATGTTTGTGTAATTAATATAATTACGATATATTTATCAGTAATTAAAAAAATATAAAGAAGTAGGTAATTATACATATTGAACGTTAAATAAAATAACTAATTTCTGTTATATTAATTATAGCTATAAAAATAAAATATTTTAACAAATAGATCGTGAATGTGTACTAGTACATGAATGTATATATATACTAAAAGTCATTGTTAACGTGAGTCCTATCTCTGTTTTATAGTAGAAACTGACAAAAATGTATCACTTTATACTATTCCAACATTAATGTAATGATTATCTAATGAATACATTATAACAAGTGCAATAAATATAGTTTATATGCATAAGGTAGGCGATGTGTATGTGTTATCAAAATTTTTAAAAAAGAAGAGATATGTCGGAAGTGGTTGAATAAGAATATATAGTGCAACACGTGTTACAATATCATATAAAGAATCAAATTAATACTGAACAAGAAAAAAATAAATGTACAATATTTTAAAAATTATTACAATTCCACTCGTAGGACTTCTGGATTGCAATCTTGTATTACATGAAAAATTTCGAAATTAAAACTTAAGTATAATCTCATAGAAAATTATAAACGAAATAGAATCTATATTTACACATCGAAGCTAATGTACATAAAAGATTGGACAAATCATTTGAAATTTTCAAATAGAATTATCGTTCGCAAACAAAACTTTTTCTATTAATTCAAAATTTTACATATTATATTTCCAATGTATTTTTTTTACCCCTATTTCAATGGAATTAATTTTAATTTTTTTTTTTCGTCTTTTATTCTTTCAGTCTCTCACCTTTGCTTTTATTTCTCTTTATCTCATTTGATTCGTTCATCCTTCATTCTTTACTTTCTCTTTCTTTCTGGTACTTCTTCCACTATTCTCTTTCCTTCTGTATGTATAGTTTCGTCTTCGTCTAAGTTAGGTCTCTATTCTCGCGGATGCTTCACGTGACCAGAACGGTTTATTGATTCTTAGAGGTAGTGCATGCGCCCTCGTCTTCGCGATATCTGCTGCCAAGGGGGTATATGATACGCTAGAAATGCTGCTCGAGTTCCGTTCACCAACAGAAGAGACGTAAAGGGGCTATCGTTGAATATAGGGTCGAAGGGGTGAACGAGGGAAAGAACAGAAAAGGGGAGCTACACGATCGTGAAAACTCAGTATCGCTTTGTGGGGCGGTTGTGCACGATACGCTCTAATCGCTATGATTATCACAGTTTTTATGAGGTACATTTATTTCTTTCCTTCTATTTGGAGTTCACTTTAATTGTAGTTAGAATTTTTTGGTGGTTTTTCTATGTCTTGTGATTGGATATACAAAATTTAAAAAAAAACGCAATAGTAAGTATCGTTGCAACATACACATATAAACAGTTACTTATATTCTTTCATTATGTGATAGTCGACATAGTCGTTTTACGTATATTGCTAGTGTATAGAAATCAGTTAATGGATAATATATAAAACCTAAGATTTCTCTAAACAAATGTATATGTCCATAATTTATATTTATACTGAACAAGATACATTGTGTTGGTCAATCCATTTCCGTTTTAGGATTACTATTACAAAAGTAAACAATGTTACAATGACGTGTCACATTGCATGTTCTTCCCTCACAGCAGGTTCCATTATTCTACGTCAATATTTCAAACGTCGAAATCATATATTTTATTAACTCAAAATTTTCCCCTCTTTCTTCCCCTTCTTCTTGCCCTCGTACCAGGTTCCATTACATTCGTGTGAAATATCGATCGTTTGTACGATTAATGTTTTATAAGGCAGTTTGGTCATGACATCGAGTTAACCAACAAATTTTTATCTTCATTTTATCAGGCCATTATCATTCTATGATGTACCAGTGAATATTGTTCATTTTTTGAACAACCGTACAAATATTTGGTATGGTATTTTTACAAAAGACTCTTTATAAGTGAATGAATTATAAAAAATTTCATGTTCATTAAATTGTTACCCGAATATTTGTATAATGTATCGTGAAATCTAAAGCAAATAATGTTCGTGTTTACACCCTTTCACAATGATAATTATTATTCCACTCCAATCGATGCATTTTCGAATTTTCGAACTGTTGAGATTCAAAAAAGCAGTTTGAAAGTATTTTACATAGATTCAGTAATACATATATAAATTCAGCAAATCGTATCACAATTTCTTATTTTTTCACTTATTACAACACGTAAACTTAATAATGATTCGCTTTGAATAATGACGAAAAAGTTTAAATTAATATGTAATTGAAAATTTGAAAGAAAGTTTCGATCTCGGTTCCTTAACAGAGTAATCAGCGAAAAATTGTAAGATGTGAAATTAAACAAAATAATTGTAAAGTCATTCATTTTGATTTCAGAAGACAACTACGGTAAAAGTTTAAGGAGACACGTGGATCATGCCAGGACAAGGAGCGAAGTGGTGACCTAAAACTCATCCTTGGCTCTGACCCTCGATGCTTACGCTACGGCTGGTGTCGACTCATTTCTTGAAGCAGCCATAGGCAGTGCCCTTCGCCTTAGAGAAAGGGCTCGATGCGATGTGCTGTGATAGGGACATGAACCCAAAACTAGTTGAATTAAACGATCTCTTTTTAACGTCGTATTGGTCGCAAACGTCGGTTTAAAGTTGGTTAAAAATTCCGTGCGTGCGCCGTCGAAGGACTCTTCTTCGCCGGTCCCTTCTCCTTCGAGATTTTCATATTCACTCGTCCTCATAATTTCCGTAATCCATTTATACCACATATCGTTCCTTGTTCTCTTTTTACGTGCGAGAAGAACCTTTTTCTGTGCGAGGCTGAAGATTTGTAACTCATCGTAAACATCAACGTCGAGGAACCAAAGTGACACGGATAAACGTGAAATAGATACAACGAAGAGATTTCAAAACAAAGTAAACGACAAGGTGATACACCGAGAAAACGATCGACGTTTAATAAAAGAAGTATCATTGGATAAAATATTACTTTGTTCTTCCACCACGTGTCTTTTTATGCTCGAGAAAAATACGCAAGACAACTTCGAAAGTACTTTTCTATCAGGTATACCCCATCCACTGGGGAATCTACTGCGAAGAAGAGTATACGGAGAGTTAGACAGTGTACTCAAAGTAGCATTCAGGCTGAACTCCATTTATTTCAACCTGTGGAGGGTCGCGAGAGAGTGCATCGTGAGCATCTTTTACTTCTAATGATTTTTGTAGCATTATTTCGGTAAAGTTTCAATGATGGACAATGTTCCACTGACATTGGTTGATATATAATATAGATCTTGTAATAGTTTGAGTAATTGCTATTCTTTTATACATATGTATATCACAGAAATATCTACATTGCATAACAGATTTATCGATCAAGCTTCTCTTGAAGATTAAATATCGTGATATTATTCACATTATTTGATTGGTATTAAATTATTGATTAACGAAGAATTCACAAAGACATAGATTTATTGTAAAACGTAATTTTGAGATAGACGTTAAAGACGTTATATGTTATACGATTGATGATTGAAAACCATGATAGCATGCTTTGGTTAAATTGGTTTAGCAGAATGAAATAAAAGATTGAGATTTTGTCAATTTAATTAGTGCGGCGGCGGCGGCTCGCGGTGTAGACAAAGTGGGATGAGACGTCCTCAGCAAGACCATCATCACCTTCACAACAATCACCACCATCACCATCATCATTACCATCATCAACATCACCATCATCATCATCATCATCATCATCATGGCTCTTCGACAAGTCCAACACGATCTCGGCAAGTTCACGACAAGGTAATTTCCTTTAAGTACGTTTCACATTTTTCGAATATTAATTATCTATTATACTGAAATGTTTGCGTACAAGAATGATAATAAATGAAATTTATTCATTTTCAAGGACGAATCTCGTTTAGCTAAAGTGAAACGCGTCCTGGCAGTATCATTGTTGGGACGGAATGGAGGATCTACAAGGATATTTGGTACGCGGCTAGATTCAATCGAGCCGTATCTTGATACCGGTGTACCTTTTGTGATACACCGATTATGTAATTATATCGAAACTCATGGATTTCAAAGCGCCGCCGTGTTCCGTCTCTCTGGTGGAAGTCCAAGGCTAGCAGAAAGATTGAGGGCTGCCTTTGAAAGAAGAGGGGACGCTGATTTAGAAGCAGCAGCGTGTCCTCCGACTGCGGCGACACTTCTTCGGCAGTACTTAAAAGAATTACCACAACCTGTCGTACCATCAACCCTTGTAGCTAAACTGTTGATCATTCATGCTCGTAAATATCTATTATTCTATATCACTGTTACTGTTATTCTTTTCATCTTTCTTTTCTTTTACTTTTTTTGTTTTTCATACAATACTGTTTGTTTGCAGAGAATTATGCTAATGATCATGACTGTTGGATTAATTTAACAAAAGAAATTCTGTCAACTCTACCATCTTCCCATTATCGTTTGCTCGGTTACTTGGTTCTTTATCTAAGCAAATACGAAGCTAAACATGGACGTAGTGCCGGAGTTTGCGGTGTATTCGCCCCTGTGATTCTACCTCATGTTCCACCTGCTACTACGCTTCTTCGTGATATCTTAGTTGAAGCATCTGCACTTTTCCCGGACTGGTAAGTTATATGAATGTAATTGTGTACGTTCTTCTTGAAATGCATATGTGTAGTGTAAAATATAGACTGGTAGTCGTCTCTGTAAATCAATTTAGGTCCGCATTAGTTATTGGGACAATACGAACCGGCTACTGCGTCTACGTATTATGTACATCTATGTATAGGTAAAAATCAGTATATACTACCAAAAGTTTTTCATTGATATCTCAGAAATTATGAATTTAATCCTTGAGATATACGTTTTTATTCAAAATAAATCTCATTCACCATATATCGTTGTCCCAATAATTAAAGTGATACCACAATTTAAATCTGATTACTGATGTTTAATTATGCACAAATCGCATTAGTTATTATGTAATTCGACAGTTGGTTATAACAGTGGTCAGGTTTTAAATAAAAAACGTTTAATTGCGGGAACAAACGACTAATAATAATATGGGTGCAGGAACTATGGTTAAAACTGCCAAAATCATATGAAGAAACCATTCGTTCAATGTTAATATGTTATATTCAATATATAAAAAGAAAATTCATACTTAAATAATCATTTTTCTTCTTCATTTTCACATTTTTTGAACTGCTCTTCTCTTTTATTACCTATATTCTTCGATTTTTTATTACCTCATCCATGACTTCTTTCTAATGATATGCTTTAATATCGTTAATTTTTTCTCTGGTTAATTCAACAACTTGTGGATGATATTTCGAGCATTTATTTTTTCTTCTTATATTACTTACTTAACTTTACTTGGACATACTTGGACTTACTTAGCTTTAAATAAGTCCAAATCATTTTTCACTTGTCGTCAAAGTACATTGTAAAAAGAAAGTCTATTAAACCGTCATAAACTAATCACTATAATCTATTATGTCGCACATAGTTTAGTATATGACAATCTAGAGTGTCATAACATCAATCATTCTCGAATTCTTTCGCGCGCACCGTTCGATTTCTTACAGTTCCACGTACAAACAGAGGTACGATACCGTAGTCGTAATTCATTGAAGCACATACATAGTAGAATCACTTTAAGTTTTCAATGTGCTTTAAAATTATTTCAATTGAATTTAATATCACTGTAACAGTACTATACTGTATTAATTCATCTCACTCGCTTCTTATTAAGAATACATACTACATATAGATTCTTAAATTTATTGGAATTATTCAGTGCTAACGAATATATTTGAAAAGATAATCGATATTTTCTTTTTTTCATATTTATATTTCGATTAACGTACGAGAAGTCATAATACGTTCAAACGTCATGCAATAGTACACACATTATAAGGAAAGAGAACGAAATAAATAAATAAATAAACAACGGAACTATAAGTATAACATTTAATTTCCTTCAACCAAATTTTAAAACGTAAATATCGAGTATCCTTGATCTATAGAGTTATATTAAAGTTATTAAACGAATAATATCTTCACATGATACATATAATAGCCTCGTCTACGGTTTCTTATACTTTGGTCAACGATATCGATGACATGCTATAAGGTGAAAGATAAGTTAACGATTAAAACCTGATATAGATTGTATTTAATACTATATAATAAATTCACGTACTACTATTTCTTTACGCAGAAAAGGGATAAAAAGACAGAAAGGAAATATTCTTTTTTAACGCTTTATTCTTGGCGTGGTTTAAAATAGAAGAGCAATGTTATTTATATCGAATTGTTATATTTATCTAAACGCCAGAGGAAATATTTTTATTTTTTATTTAAATTTTAACCTTTCATATTTTTTATTTTCTTCATACATTCATTTCTAAAAGTTCGCAAATTCTGTTTTACTTTATTGAGTAATCTTATGTGGGAGGAATGGTACGTTTCGATACGTAACATGTTATTCCATTAATCCGAAAAAATCAACCACTCGAATCATTCAATTCGATTAGCAATGTACCTTTTAATATGATAAAAGATCATAAAAATAAACTTATTTTTTTATGTTTATCGAAAGTATTTAAACATTTATAAAATTTATTATATACATACATATATACTTGATCTCTGTGTATACTCATCGATTCATACAAATTACATAATAGCGACAGATTATTAATAGTTGCTTCTTTAGTTTCGTATCAGATTGTAAAGCATGAGCTTTTCTAGGTTAGCATCTTACAATGCAGTTTGTAACATGAAAATTGTCAATATTTTCTTTCCCTGATTTTTTTACCCTTGCATTACAATAAATCATGCTTTCCGAAGGAAGGCAGTCTTACTTAATCAGGGGAATATAAAAGAAGAAAATAAGGAAACATCGTAGTCTGTTTTGTGATTTGCAGAAAATTGAAACATGGACAAATATGAAACATATTTTTCCTCTATGATATCGTCTATAATGTAAACTATTGTATGTTATTGAAAATTAATGTTTTTCTTGTGCTCTAAAGCAGATCGCATTTTATAGTCGATGCGTTTGCAACATATTTTATACACTCTAGTCGTTCGAGATACTGATTTAGCAATGACGTAATCTTTCCTAATAAGTTTCGTTGAACAAATACCACAGAATTATTACGATGTGTTCTGTATCCGTATTCGAAGGAAGAGCCGTTTGGTACAAGCCGGTTTCAGCAAGAAACACGCCTACCAACGAAAATAGTCCAGGAATCGTGATCCCTTCTCGCGAAAGTCGGCTAAATATTTAGCATACAAATCGAATAAACCCGTACCATACACTCACATCGCGGCTTCACCTTCGATCTTTTCGATACTTTTGCAAGCAAGTGAACGACAAGTAAAAACAGAATAAAACATAAACGGGAGGATTAATAAAAGTTATTTAATCAAGACTTTCTACGTTAGAAAAGGATTATTTTTGTCTGACAACTTATAAGAAATTCTGTGAGATGTACATATTTTTATAAATAAAATTCACTTAAAACGCGTGACAAACCAAATAGGACGTTTCTTTTAGAATCGTGCTTCCAAACGAGATATATGCACATCTATAGATTCGTCATTCAATGTTCATAATTGAGATACGTTTGTATTCTATTACCGAATATTTTTCAATGTAGCTTCGCACTAAATGTACGTCGTCGACCAAAAATAACGTCTCATTGACGTCAGAATGTCAAACATATGATCATATAGTATGCAGGTTACATTTGTTCCATTTGTCACAACAAATGATTTTGATTTCATTTCGTAAATAGAAAAAAATAAAAGTAATTAAGCAAATAGAGCCATTATTGGAGTCATTATTATGGTTATCGTTACAGTCGTTTTAGCTATTGAATCGTGCGTAGCTGGTAACCATAAGTATGAGAATGCGAATAAAAAAAAATTTCGATTCGATCGATTTGAAGTTGTCGCGTACATTGTGGTGTGGTTGATACTTTAATACACACAAGTTCAGGAAGTTGCGCGCATTACGCTTGTCACGCGCAAAAACGGGCTATAAGATCGGTGTCAGTTGCAGCAACAGAATATAGAGGAGAGTCGATCGGAAATTGTTGTAGTCTAATTTCTGGCTCAGTCGGGAGAACTATCCGAAAATTCCATTTCATCGACACGTATCATCGAATCAAGACTATAAAAGGCATTTCAACGTGAATTCGATTAATTTCGACTTCAAAAATCGATTTCTTCTTCAAATCAACGATCCTTAAACGTGTACTCTTTTATACGTATCAGCAGACGTGTCTTTCAATCAGTTATGCAGGAAATAAGTGTTGCCTGTTCGTTGTGAGCGATAGCAATTTGTCGGGACATTCGATCGAAAAGTGTGCGTATTCTTTGCATACGAGTTGACTGAGGACGACGC